TTCGAGTAACTCTAGAATCCTCCACCGACGTGGAAAATGTTTTGCTCTCCGCAAGCGCGCTAAAACACGAATCCTGTGCGATACGTATCTATCCTGATGTCCCTTGGAGCGCGCGACAATCAAAAAGAAACACCGAAGAGGGGCACAGCAAGCAAGACCGCCTAAACACAGTCTTCATACATGGAGTGCCAGAACATCCTTCTAACCACGTTCAAGATACCGGAAAGCACGATTTAGAACAGTGGCGGTTCATTCGTGAAACACTTTCTTTGGATGATGTTGTGGCACTATCGCTCACCAGGATACCTCTCTCATCGAATTATAGAGGATGCGGCCCTAGATGGGAGGTCGGCATTCTCCCACACTTGACAGCTTCACCTCTCTGCGGGCTCCTAGAGACCGAGAAACTGGCCTGCTTGTATACAAATGCTCAGGGACTTTCTAACAAACTGGCTGAACTGAAAGATAGCCAAGCTTCCGGCTCGTATGATGTCATTGGTATCACCGAGACATGGTTGCACACGGAAATGACGGACGCTGAAGTGTCGCTACCCGGCATGTCGCTGATCCGAAACGATAGGCTCACAAAAGGAGGAGGGGTAATCCTGTACTACCGAAACGACTTACAGTGCGAAGCCGTGGAGGATTCAGATTCGCAGTTCCCCGACTCTCTTTGGTGCCGGTTGCAGTTAAAAGGCAGGGACGCTTGCCTTATTATCTTGGTGTACCGCGCCCCTAACTCAACACCCGAAACCGACTACCACCTAATTACTGCTTTAAGGTGCAGGTTGCAACAAAAGTACGCTCACATTCTTATCATGGGTGATTTCAACGTACATTGTTTAGAAGCCCCTGCCACAACCGGCGAACAATTCAAAACCGATTTACAAGATCTAGTCACTACTGCTCCTCTTTACAACCACATCACTTTGCCCACTCGGTTCAGAACTAGTAACAGGCCATCTGTGTTGGATCTTGTGCTTACCAAAGAGGAGCATATGATTGATGCGTTGGTTTTAGACTGCCCGTTGGGTCGCAGTGATCACGCAGTCATCAGTTTCAACTTCGTCTGCTACGCAGAATATCGGAATGATAACGATGATACTGTGCGAACCATCACAAGGTACGACCGACTCGCCCAGCTAGTCAGCGCCACAACATGGTCTTTCCTCGAAGAAGAACCCCCGGAAGTCGCCTGGCTCGAGTTCGTCAAGAAATTCAGTCAGCTGATTGCACAGGCTTCAGAGATAAAAGCTTGCAATAAGTGCAAATCCGTTTCTTTCGTTAGGAGCAGAACCCGAAAATGGATGACAGTACGCAACGCAGCATGGCGAGTGTACAAAGAAGCTCCAGCACCAGAAACGTGGGACAACTACGTAGCCCAACGTAACCACTGCACTCAACTGTTAAGAGAAGACAAAGCCGCCTATCAGCAGAACATCGCAAAAAGCTTCAGTGCTAACCACAAACTGCTGTACAAGCACGTTAATAGCCTACGAAAGGTGAGGCAAGGATTTCCTCCACTCAAGACGGCTGAGGGCCCAACAAGAACGTCTATGGAAGCTGCAAACGCGCTGCAGATGCAATACGCCCCCACGTTTCAAAGGGTCTTGCCACCAAGCGATCTACCAAGCTTTGTATTCTGCTCACCAGGACTAACCCACATCAATTTTACCGCAGAGGCTGTATTGCAAAAGCTGACTTCTCTACGCAAACACAGCTCGCCGGGTGTTGACGCCATTCGTCCTGAGGCATTGGGAGCAGCAGCAAAGCAACTGGCAGGACATTTAGCTCAGTTTTTCCAGCACTGTTTAGACCAGAACCAAGTTCCCGCCATGTGGAAGCTTGGAATAATAAGCCCGATTCACAAAGGTGGAAGCAGATCTGATCCCTCCAACTACCGCCCAGTAACCCTTCTTCCTATACTCTCCAAGGTCATGGAATCCATAGTTGCCGATGCACTGGTGTGCTATCTGGAATACTGCAACCTCATCACTCCTGAACAGCACGGTTTCCGTCGACAGCGGTCATGTACAACTAATTTACTAATTGCACGCAGTAGTTGGACCGAGGCAGCCGACGCTGGAGAAGGTGTTGATGTGATCTACCTGGATTTTTCCAAGGCTTTCGATCGTCTAGACCATCGGATACTACTATCCAAGCTGCAGCATTACGGGATCGGAGACCCTCTTTTAAGCTGGATCGCCAACTTTCTATTTCAAAGGCAATTAGTGGTCAGAGTTCGGAGCTCATTATCGGACTCCATACAAGTGGAGTGTGGTGTGCCGCAAGGCTCGGTTCTAGGTCCACGATTGTTTCTGGTGTTTATTAATGACCTTGCACAGGAAATCGCTTCAAACTTCCTAATGTTTGCCGACGATATCAAGATCTGGCGCAGGATCCAGGCGAACGCCGACCAACGTGTGCTCCAAAGTGACTTAGATACAGTGTATCAATGGTCGATCCAAAACTTATTGCATTTCAACATCAGTAAATGCAAGGTGCTTTCCATCCGACATCAGGGCAGCTACTCATACCGACTCGGAACGGATATACTGCAACAATCAACTCTCGAACCTGACTTGGGTGTCCTGGTTCAAGATGACTTGGGTTGCTCCAGGCAATCCGAAAAGGCCTCGAAGACCGGGAATCAACACGTTGGGCTGTTGAGGCGGGCGTTTGGACAAATAAACAGCTCCATATTTCGACAAATGCTCAGTGCGTATGTTCGCCCCATGTCGAATACGCAATTAAAGCCTGGCATCCATGGCTGAAACACGACCTTAACGCACTGGAGCAGCCTCAACGCCGGGCATCTAAGAACGTAACTGGAATGCGCAATCTGTCCTACCAGGAGAGGCTGCGACGACTAGGATTGTTCAGTGGAAGCTATCGCAGACTACGAGGCGACCTGATTATGACATACTTGATCCTGCGAGACGCACATCATGTGTGCCGCCCTTTACTGCAACTCAGCAGCAATACAAACCTGAGGGGCCACTCATTAAAACTCACAGAACAATACAGTCGTCTGGAGTGCCGCAGAAATTTCTTTTCCATCCGTGTCTGTCACCCGTGGAATGCTCTCCCAGAATCGTTCGTCTCTGCACCGACACTAACAATATTTAAAAGACGGTTGGACGATGCACTCATCCACTTACACTTTGTTACTTAACCCTATGTCTCCATCCTACACCTGGAGTTTACCCTGGAATTATTTGTTGTTAACTGTGGGTGTTGTGAATCTAAGTGGATCGCAGGACTGCAGCGAAGCAAACGATAAGTCCTTATTTTCGTATTTAAAGTGTTAACTATTTTACTATCCTTTTCATCATAATTATTATGTTGATATCCCCTGCAACTATCCAACGGGGCTTGTAATGAAACGCTTCTTAACCAGTATAAATTCATTGTTCATTGTTCATTGTAATACCAGGTCCAAATATGAAATGACACGAGAACCGGAAGTGGAGAACTCGCACAGTTTCATAACCATGAAATACGAATGTACTAGCCAGACCTAATGGTTGCGAGGCAGCATCTGCGTTGTAGAACTGGGCGGTTCACGGCATTTGCAAGAACGCATCGTCTTGCATATCCAAGTTCCACGGCAAGTTTCACAATGATAATAAATCGAAGCATGCATCATTGGATACTCCGCAAATGAGGAACTCTTCGATGGACGTAGTTTCCCGTAACCTGATCAACTCGAGTGGCGCTGAATACCAATATCAAGCAATTGTCTATAGACAATACATATAAGCGCACATTGTTGCTTGCGGTAGGAAAAGATTCAGTTTTAAGGGTTTACAACGTGGAATTGTTTAACCATGCTAAAATACATGGATTTGCCGATCTCCTATTAACACAGCTCTTGAGAATCATTACGCCACAATAATTTGGTCTAATTTACGCCAAAGCGTCGCAGTCGATAACTAGCATAACGTGCGATGTGATCATTTGCAAACGAGGTTGAACAATCAACTAAATTGAAAACTCCAAAGCTCGAGGTTTGGTTATGTTCTTTGCTTATTCTCCAAACTTTCTGGTTGATTTGCAGGCATTCATTTGCGGACAAGTCAACAGTCTCCGTGGGGCTTCCAGGGCCCGATTTACAGCGCTCAATACATGCATGTGGTATCAAGTACTGCATTGAATACAACGCATCGATATGCACACATGGTTGCCGGGTATTTGTTTACCTGAGGAATTCGACAACCTCTAATTCAAAAATCGCATATGTTGAGATAAATGACTTTGGATCTATAGTGGGCGAATGTTCAGGCCAACTTTCTTATTTTATTTCTGCTTATGTTACTTTGTATTTGTCACGGCTTATTTAGCTGATCAATTTGTTTTAGCCATCGTGTTAAATTTTTACTAGCATACAATTCTTTACAATAGTTGCCGCGGTAGTCATGACCCAACAGGTTCACTTGGTACTTTCGGCATCCCACAGTTTAACTACTGAGCAATGTATGCCTTTAAAATCAGAAAATTTTAATTTCATAGCAGTGTTTAAAAGCCTGGACTATTGTAACCTAAACTGTTTTCTAAAATAGCACTTATATAACACAACTCCAAATGAATTATTAGACTTAAACAAATGCGGTGGATGAAACTTCATTGTATTTCTCCCTGTTTTCATTACGCCTCATATTCTCCATGTTTTTAAGTGGCAATCTTTGACACATGCTATTTCGGACCGGTAAATTATAGTTGGTTCATATCAGGCACAGTTCGATTGCAAATATTTACACGTCATCGTACTGCTTAGCAAATAATTTAAATGTTATCATTTAAAACACTTTTCGACTAAAGAGTGTATTTAACTAAAAAGTATGAGAATATATTGCAGTGCATAAGTGAAATGTGCCGAAAATAAGTTTTGCAAGTCTACAAGTATTCTAATCGAAGATTGCTGAAGTATAAATCCGTTTGTTTAAAGTAGATAAGCCATCCAGGAGCTGTTGTGTCAGGCTCGTAGGCAGCAATTAAACTTGTAGAGGAACTAGGGAAAGAGAGAGTGATTGAAAAGCTGCGGTCGTATATACTGTAACAATTACATTTAAAGTAGGTGTGAGTGGCAAAACGAAAAATAACTGGCACGTTAACCGCGCATTTTGCTGTTGTCTAATAGTAATTTATTTCGTGTTTTGTTGCCACCAGCTCCATGCTAGAACATACTTGAGTCTGCTTGGGGATCGCCCCAATAATTTTTCTTAGGGGTTTTCGAGCTTACATAATTAATTCAATAACATTCAATTATAGTCTCACAGATATGCAGCTGCCTGATCGACCAGGGTCACCTACTTAAAGAAGTACGTAAGCCAGTACCAACCGACTTCTAGATTAAAAGTAAAAGCTTTTGCTTATGACAAAAATGAGCTTTGGTTCAGAAAGTTTGTTAAATAAACACATGGTGAAAAACAATTTGAGCTGTCTGGGATCATATTTCGCCTTTGTAAAAACACGTCGCGATGTGCTCTCGAATGCTCTGGGATAGGCGTCTCTTTGTGCGATCAACGTATAGTACATCACAAGAACATGAGCATAGGATTCGCGAGCGCATACCGGCGAATTGAGGTCCACGAACAGCGCAGGCATGTCGCACCTCCTTTAATATTGCCATACGGCATCCGAGAAGGACTTAGAAGTCATCTACTCACTACCTGAATGCTTCTTGCAAGGATTCCGAAAACAAATCTTGTCTATCGACGGAGCTATCTACATCTATTATCTAAAGCCTGAATTCTGTGTACGTAAACGATTCACACGGCAGATACCACTACCGTAGCCGACTGAAATGCTTACTTAGTTTCCCTTTGTAACTATGCCTACTGAACGTAGGCTGCTGAATCTTGTGTATTAATGTTTTATCGGTACACGTTTCTGACCACATGTAGCCATCCATAGTCATCGATTTTGACAGTTTAAGAAATTTAGAAATCGATCCCAGCCCGATTTGACGTTTACTCCAATTAATCAGTATTATGTAAATGTTTGGGCCTAAGGAGAGTCTACCGAAATGAATTCTTAACCCTAAATTGACATCTGGTCTTGACTCATGTGGATGCAGAGTTAGATGTCCCAAATACGTAGCATCAGTGCGGTAGTAAACCAATTATTAAAGATGTAATAATGTAGACACTGCCGATCATCGCCCAGTAACTCACTCAGTGCTTTCGAAGCTGTTAGAAGCGGTTGCCACTTACGCTTTAGTGGACTAGCTGGGAAAAGCCAACATCATGAGACCTGAGCGGTCAAACTGCTGCAATCTGATGAGTACGATAGTTATTTGGACGGAAAGTATCGGTGGTGCGGGGAGATAAACGTCATCCATATGAACTTTTTCAAAGCCCATCATCTCTCAGATCCACATTATAAACCGTTGAGTTGTAGAATCCTACATATTCTCCTTAAGTGGATCACTAACTATTTTCTGCAAAAATCAGCGAAATAATTATGGCGTAATGAGGCATTTCACAGGACTCTTTGCTAAGTTCACGATTTCATTATTATTCGCCAATAACCCCGCCAAAAGTTTCCTGCTATTTGCAGGTGATGTCAACATATGATCATCAGATAGTTGCAAGTAAGAGCAAAATTTCCTCGGAAGTGACCTGGTATTTTCATTTATGTCTACCGCAGAATTATCCCCAGATTGTGGTGGTTATTACGTCATTCAAAGACGTCTTCAGTCTGGGTATCTGTTCATACTTGGGAAGTGCACCTTATATAAAGCTTGTTTTATGTGTGACTCGGAGACACTGGTCCAGGACGGTACTGCATGCTCGAAAATACCCGAATGGTGAAGTCCATGTGCGAGGAAGAGTGCTTGGACAATGAAAGTCAGCTACCTGCCCACAAATTCTAAACACTTACTTAAGGTCACATGCAGCATATGTCATGCAGTGTTGGTACAAGCCAGGAAGGTGCCATCTTGCTAAATTCTAAACTCCACGATTAGACCCATCCAAAAAGTTGAAGGCCCATTCTGTCTGACTTACGATGGTCAATCACTGTGTGCGCGAATAAAAGCAGTCGGTATCGGCGTCTACGGATGGAAATCATAATGACATACCAAATGCAGTAGAACTCAAAAGCATTTGACACCCGCTCCGTGAACTCAGTTACAGCACCAAACTGAGAATCCAAAGCTAAATTGAGCTAGAGAATTACAGCCGGCAGCAGGTTCCTGAAAACATATACCTATCAGATTTCTAGCCGTAAAAAACAACGCCGCCTACATTGTTACGGCTCTAAATTACGCTGCATAACAATAGGCAATATAAATCATGAACCAAGTAGCATTCTTTACGTTGCGTAGCAAGGTCATCGGAGAAGTTTGTGATCGAACATAGGCGACATTCTAGACTTGATGGGGAAGTATCGGTGTGGATTTACGTCACCGATTTCCCTCCTTCGTACTCGCTACACTGCAAGTGCTCGCATGCTACCTACAATGAACGGCAGTCTTGTCAAAAATACTTGAGAAAACACATGCAAATGGGGAACACGCAACAATCTTTCATGGACGCATACCTGTTGTGTGACCCGTGGTCGGCAACGAATCTGTACAATGGAAATGGTCGGGAAGTGCACAACATTGTTCAGGATTATGAGCGAAATAACAAATGTAGGACTGCAGAAGGTCAAATATTTATGGGGAATATGCGTTTGGAATGAAAGAATTATTACCGTATTTTTCCAACTAAAAAGCGCACTTAAAATCCCTATATTTGCTAAAAATCGCCCGTGCGCCTTATGTATAAACGGTTGTGTTGAGGCCTATTGACCTAGAATCAAGTTCTAGGTTTACATTTTGCTGAATAATCCGGGAAACTTTTATTACGACTTTGATTGTAGAAGCATAATCGCTGGTCAGGAACCTCTTGGAGTCAGCTTTCTATGTTGTCTAGGCAGACTTCTTTTTGAGGTGGCAAACTCTGTGCAGGAACCAACTGATTCGCGCTCCTCCGGCAACAATAAACCAAACAAGTATTCAACATCCACGCTGGTATTCCATATTGTGATATATTTACTTGTTACTCCACCAGGAAAACTCACAATTCACTTTGCAAACGCCGCCAAAACACACACAACTTATGTCGCTGGTTGCAGATGAATGTTTGAACACAAGATCTGCGCTCACGCCAGTGTTCCAACGACGTGAGGTCATCCAGATAGTCGGCAAGGATGGTGTGAGTTTCAATCACATCATCGTCCAAACTGAGGTTTTCGGATGGACAACTGGAACATACGTCGTCGTGCATGTACTACGGAAGGAGCAGCAATTCACTTAAGGAGACATACATGAATACATACAATTTGGTCAACATATTAGGTCAAACACGATAATATTATTTAGCGCCGGTTGCATGCTGGTGATCATGACGAAGCTTGTTCGCTTACCCCTACCATTTTTCCTGCTACTTACTGTGCTTCAACATACCGGTAATTAAAGACCCCAAAATGACACCTGTTAAGAGACATGCTTGCGAAGCGGATTTCAAACTCAAGACCATCGGCCAGGCAGTAGAACATTGGAATAGAACAGTTTCGAACCAGTTCAACCTTAATGAATCAATGGTAGGAAAATGGAAGAAGCAAGAAGATGATCTGTGCCAAGTAGAAAACAGGTGTTTTAGAGAGAACAAAGCAAGATGGCCACAGTTGGAGAACAAAGTCGTGCATTGGATTACTGAGCATAGATTAGCAAATAAAACCGTCTCTAAAGTCTCCATTCGATACAAGGCAACAGCGGTTATATATATACATGTACATACATATATATATGTATATATATATATATATATATTCACAGCCTGTTAACAGACACTGTGCCATCAGAACCATGTCAGAAGAAACAAATGGAAAAGGTAGAAACATGAAGTGCGATACAAGAATAAAAATGGATTTGCTGGTTTTACCATGCCATTTTGATTTGTTTTTGTTGTGTTGCATAGGTTTTTGTTTGCATTAAGAGGGATGCAATGGCAGAAGACGAAATGCGATGAAAATGGGAACGATATTTTTGGTTTGGAACATGCCATTTTGATATATTTGTTTCATGAGCATTTGTGTGCATTAATAGGTGGGATAAAGTGGCAGAACAACATTGACGCCACTGATGCCTGTTGCGGGCCATGACATCCAATAATTCCAACCACTGAGATTCAGAATCTCGTAGTCCCAACATGGAAGACGGACTAGTACTACTGCCCCCAATCTTTAGGTTGCCTTCTTCATTCCGCTTCTCCACTTCATTTATTGTCCACCGCGGCACTTTCTCCCATAGCTCCCTGGGAGTGCAAATACCGCTCGACGTGGAAGAAGATGGGCTGGCAATTGCAAAACGTGTCTGAGCCAACGCATGCGATGTCGGAGAATAATGTTCGGAAGACTGGCACTACTCGCTCTAAGCACTCGGTCTCTGACCTCCGCATTGCTTACGTGGTGTTGTCACCACACCCGAGCAATCCTTCGTAGACAGCGATTTTCGAAGACTGACAGCCGCTTCATGTCTTCCGAGCGAATAGGCCAAGTTGCACAGTCGTACAAGAATATGGCACGGACGGAAGCAATGTACACCGTGCCCTTGAGCTTGAGACTGATAGCATGAAGGCGCCATATGGTGTCTCAGTTTTATGAATGCAAGGCGGACATTTGCAGTTTATTGTGAAACTCCATCTACAAATCTGCTACCAGCCTTGATGCAACTTCATGGATAAGTAAAGCAAGGGACTTGCTCCAGAACATGTCCGACACGGGTGAGCGCGGGTTCAGGCACCTGCCAGTCCTGGAGCAGCGTTTTACATTTTCCCGGAGTGAAGCATAAGCCGTAGTTAGACGCCTACATCGCCAAGAGGTCCAAATCGCTCTGGATGGTATGTGGGTCTTCCAAGCAAGGCGATATCATCGGCGTAGTCCAAATCCGTTACTCTGTCTCCAGGGAGGAGCTCAACACTGCAGTTTTGGACACTTTCCAGTGCTCTTTGGACGACATCTTCAATGGTGCAATCGAAGAGGAAAGGTAAACTAGGACAAGCTTGGCGGACACAGCTTGTCACAGCAAATGAAGAAGAGAGCGTGCTCGCTCTGTTGAGCGTTGTGTGCTTGAGTTGACAGCTATCACGGTAACAGGTTCGTCGGTGTAAGTGGGGTTGATCGCCATAGAGGAATCAGGTAAAAAGGGTTGTGCATGGTACAAGGGAAGGGTAGGTAAAATGGTGACTTGTGCTTGTGAAGTTGACATAGTAGCGCGAGTGAATAACATCGTAGCAGTCAGAGAGCTTGTAAATGGTTGTAATTGTAAGTCTATGGTTCGCCAGTAGGCGCGACACTACCCGGTTGTCTAATCCGAGGTAACGATGGCAAGTGATATGAAGATGAACGACTTTCAAGGAGGTGCTTCTTGGTGCTTTCGTTTTATGAAAAGGCGTGGCCCCTCCATCCACAAATGAACCACCACCACGCAGCAACTTCCAAAGGATTACAAAGAAAACTTGGTCATCTTCCGCACTTACTGCAAGAACAAGATCACAGAAAAGAAGATCCAGCCAAATCACATCACAAATATGAACGAGGTTCCTCTCAGCTGTGACATCCCCGTGAACCGTACTGTTGAAAAACAGGGACGTCTACTTTATCTATACGCACCACAGGGAACGAGAAATCATAATTCACTATAGTTCTCGGTTGCCAGGCTGGTGGCCAGAAACTAACACGCATGGTCATTGGTAAGAGGAAGACTGTCAAAAGAATGGTTTCCTGTTGGAGTTGTCGTCAAGTTCAACCCAAAAGGCTGCATGGACGAGGAGAACATGAGCCAGTGGCTGAGAGAAGGCTCCGTCAGGAAACCGGATGACTTTTTTCCCCACATCCGTCCTTATTGATATATGACTGCATGTACGCTCATCTGACCGAAACTATCAAACACCAAGTAAAGAACATAAATTCGCAGTTTGCCATCATTCCGGGCGGATTAACCGAAGAACACTAAACGCTAGATACTGGTGTCAACAGGAAGTACAAAGTTAAATCACCAGCCGCGTGGGAGCATTTGATGACAGAAGGTGAGCATACATTTAGCAAGACAGGGAGGCAACGCCGGGCTCGTTACGCCGCTATCTACCAATGGGTTGTTGATGCTTGGGTTAAGATATCGGTCTCAACTGGCGTCCGAGCTTTCACGAAGGCAGAAATCATCCACGAACACCCAAGCAACAGCAACGAGACTGACTCAGTTGATGACGAGAGGGATCAGGACTTGCTTGATGCCGCCCATGGCTCAACTGTTAAACCGACACTGAACATGAAGAATTTGACGGACTTTTACATTAGGTTGAAAAAATGAGTGTATTTTTCATGTTTATGTTTGTTACAAGTGAACAATATTGACAGTTATTGTTAATGAGTTGAATTAAGTCTGATTTATCCGAATATTTTGTTTCGCTTTATGCACCTTATAATACGGTGCGCTTTATCTATGAAATTAGATCCGTTCACTGATACTGCGCCTTCTAATCCAATGTGTCTTATGTCCGACAAATACGGTAAATCCGAAGCCACTTAATTTCCACGTTCTCATTCCAGTGTTTATGCGTGAAGGAGTTTAGCGCTGTCATGCGCGATGCACTAGATTCCGTTCACGTTTATTGGCAGCTAATCCATCTACGCGTCTGTTTAAAACGCAGATGTCAGCAGCGGCCAACAATCAACGCACAGTCGGGACAACTGACCCTCACCACCAACGTGTCGTTCTGTAGTTAGTTTAAAAGTGTGGATGAGAGGTTGTGTTGTCTTGTGACACCATTGTGCAATGTATGTGCTGTGACTGAATACTTCTTGCGAAGCTGCTTTGTTTTGCCATCCAAATAAACTTCGACAAAACGGAATGGACCACTTTCTTACGTATGCATGCATGTAGATTATTTCAAGGTGCTCAAAATGTAGCGTTAATGCAAAGAAGATGAAACAGGAGCCAAGTAAGTATGTGAATGGTTGCTTAGCTCTCCTTACGTGTTTTTGTGTAGGTTCGTTGCAGTTAGACACAGACAGACAGCCCTTACACATTCAATGAAGCCCTCGACAACCGTTTCGTCCCATTGGGACTCGTCAGTAGCGTGCACCCGCAGAATCCTGCCGGATTCGAACCCGGCGACCTTACTCTTGCGAGTCAGCGACTTATGTCACTAAGCCATGGGCGACGGCAGCGGACCGCCATGACTGATATCTAACTGCGATATAGCGCGGTTTCTCCTGCATTGTCTTGAATGTTATGAATTTGCAGAATACAGGGCTGACCCCCAGAGCAACGAATTCCTCATGTCGTTTGTGCACAGACACTAATGTTCATCAAATGTGTGCTTGAAAAGCACACATCTAAAAGCACGCATCTAAATGTTTTCCATTGACGCCGCATTATATAAGCGCTACCATCGAATATTCAGTTTCGTATTGCATCGCCTTATATTCAAAGGCGTAAGATTTGTCCTGCTATTGATATTGCGAGTAACCTAGTATGTACTAACAATTAACCGATAGGTAGGTAATTGCATTATGCAAATAGG